ATCTAACTCTGATACATCCATACAATGGACCATTATTCACCAAAACCACAAGAGCTATTAAGTCATAAAAAGGCCTGGAGAAACCTTACGTGCATAGTGCTAAGGGAGAGAGGGCAGTCTGAAAAAGACCAAATCCTGTATGATTCTGGCTATACGACATGCCAGAAAAGGTGACGATCCAGCAATAGTTGAGAGAAGCGGTGGTCAGGGTTTGGGGGAGTAGAGGAGGGAATTTTTAGGGGAGTGAAGCTCTTCAGTATGATATCGTAATGGTGGATACATGCCATTAAACATTTGCCCAAATCCATAGAACTGTATAACAAAGAGTGGATCTTTGTTTTTTGGGGTTTGAAGACAGGGTCTCACTCCCCTCACCCAGGCTAGAGTGCAGTGGCGTGACCATGGCTCCCTGCGGTCTCGACTTCCTGGGCTCAGGTGATTCTCCCACTTCAGCACGAAAAATACTAGGTTTGGTTTTAAGAATGAATCTACTACTTTGGGAGGCCGAGACAGGAGGATCACGAGGTCAGGAGATCGAGACCATCCTGGCTAACACGGTGAAACCCCGTCTCTACTAAAAAATACAAAAAACTAGCCGGGCGTGATGGCGGGCACCTGTAGTCCCAGCTACTCGGGAGGCTGAGGCAGGAGAATGGCGTGAACCTGGGAGATGGAGCTTGCAGTGAGCCGAGATCTGGCCACTGCACTCCAGCCTGGGCGACAGAGCGAGACTCTGTCTCAAAAAAAAAAAAAAAAAAAAAAAGAAGAATCTAGTAAAGGAAAAGATAAAAGCTGGCAAATCCTGACAAGCTCTGTTACTTTACAGCACAAACTACCTGCCATGACTGTTCTACTGGCAACAGCTTTTCATAATCACACTTAAAAAGTAATACCAGTTTTTGGCCAACCTTCCTTTTTTGGTGTAGTAATGACTTTTCTCCCTGAACACAAAATTTATTGGTTATGACAAGTCACACTTGGATATTATGGTTTTAGGCAGACTCTTTAATTGAACTGATACAAGTTTCTGGTCAGAGAATACCGTATGGAACAACTTTGAATTGCACACCATATTTGGACAAAGACAGAATGTTTTGGTTTCCTTAAGTACTCCAAGTTAGAGGTATGAAGAGGTAGCATCTTCTGTGATAATGCTATGCACTTGCCCTAATTTCATGTGTTTTAAAGCACTCTCATGTTTAGCTTTCATTTAATTCTGAAGATGTCTATGTTACTACTTTAATTTTTAGGTACAATTTGAGTAAGAACAGTGATGAGCTAATTGAACTCTCTTTAGGGATAGCTTCCTTTACTAAATATACATTTTTTGCAAATGAAGAGATAGAGCTCTGAATCATTGCACGTCCTGACATCCTCCGGAGACTAAGAAACACAGCGGAGGGAAAATCAAATGCACTGTGGATTACCACTATCTACCATGATCCCACAGCACTGTTACAACAGCTGATGAAGGCAGGGGAGGAGGGAGTCAGGAATGACACCCTTCCAAGAAACTACAATTTGAGAGATTTTTAAGGAGTGTATTAAGATATATAAAAACTTAAAAAGGAAGCAACATTGGCTAATTCTCAAGGAAAAGAAAATTATGAAGTACTTCTAATTCTGATATTAAATGTGTAAAAGTCCATCACCTGCCACCAGCAAAAACTGATTCCTTCACACTTCTCTAACCCACACCCCGGACTGCATCACCTTTTTTTTTTTTTTTTGAGATAGAGTCTCTCTCTGTCACCAGGCTGGAGTGCAGTGGCACGATCTCAGCTCACTGCAACCTCCGCTTCCTGGGTTCAAGCGATTCTCCTGTCTCAGCCTCCCGAGTAGCTGGGATTTCAGGCACGTACCAACACGTCTGGCTAATTTTTGTGTTTTTAGTAGAGACAGGGTTTCACCATGTTGGCCAGTATGGTCTCTATCTCTTGACCTCGTGATCCTCCCGCCTTGGCCTTTCAAAGTGCTGGGATTACAGGCGTGAGCCACTGCGCCTGGCCCGCGACTGCATCTTCTTTTCCTCTTTTGGCAAGTCCAAGCAATCTTTCTTACATTACATTTGATGTAGAAACTGTACTTAAATTCTTCATTTATGTAATGATATACAGCATTTGGATCCCTATCAGCATTTCTCCCACTGTCCTACATGCTTTGCAAATACTCTAATCCTCACACTAACCCACTGAATTGTGCACTTTTACTGCATATATTTGACAGATAAGGAACTGGTGGGACAGACACTAAGTAACTCGCCCAAGGTCACAGAGCTGCTAAGTGGCAATCAGAATTCAATCCCTGCCATCTGAATGGAGCCCTTCAGGGCTGGCTACAGAGTCTCTCTTGTATACAGTACTATACTCTGCTGCCTAACATTTTTTACATTTACTAGTAAATATCTGCCCTTATGGTCTCTGATGACAATTTGTCTTTTCTCTCCTGAAATGCCATCTCTTTTCGGTATATGTAGTTTATGACTACTGACACGTTATTATAGAACAGTTCCATTTTAGAGACTACTGAACTCTAAGACATAGAAATATGTTTTTCGCAGATTTGAAGACAGTAAAATCAGGGACTCTTTCTCTCCAAATTTTTATTTCCATTTTCTTAAATGCTACTTTAAAAAAAAAAAGGTTTAATTTTCAAAAAGGGTATTTTGCCGATATCCTAACAACTATTAAAATAACCACTGTGAATTTAAGTAAGACTAATGTTTAATTTATGTTAGTATGGTAACCTCTCTGAAAATGAAAACTAAAACAATAACAAATTGTACTTTAAAAAACTTCCAGTAATCAAGACAGAAGCGTGGAAATATGCCTCTTCATGGTTCGTTAAGGCAAAGGTATTTTTTTCCCCTTCCAAATCAATTCTGTGGAGTGGTTTTAATTTCTGAATTCAGAAGGCAGTTATAATTAATGGGAAGAGAAATGGCAGAAGAGGCAGGAAAGACATTAAGCACCAGGAGTGAAGGAATAAGTGAAAAGAAGAGGACAGAATATGCTTTCATAGTGGAACACTGTTGATTGATGACTTAAAACCAATATTCCAAAGAGATTAAGGTCAGGATTAGGACCTTTATATGCTGATTGAGGTTCCGATTTCAGCTCCTAACAGTGGTTGTCTTCAACTGAGAGCACTTATTTAAAACCATCCTTTACTAAAAGAGCTTCAAATTATCTTACGAGTGCTTTTAAAAAAGATATTTCTAAAATTTTTTGTAAAATATTCTATCTTTGCTTAAGAAACTCTTCCCATTTTTTTAAAGATCAACTTAGAAACTAAACTAAGGTTCTAAAAATACTGACAGATGATAACATTAATGCGTGGCAAGAAGGTAAGGACAGGAGACCTGATGTTCGCAGCGCACCACTGCATGCCAGGCACTGTTCCAGGAAGCTGACGGAGACCTTATCTATTTGTTCACCATCACATTTTGGCACCTTCCAAGTACCACCGGGTGCAGTGCAAGCACTCAGCTAACGTCTGCTGAGTGGTTAGTTAACAAGTGGGGCAATCTATACAACTCAGAATCCAACTACAGTGACCTTTTAATTCCCATGAATTTATTTTTCCGTATTAGAGAAAAAAAATCTGACTTCTAAGGCCAAGCTACCAAAAATTCTATGTGGCTAATTCACATCAGATTTCATTCTGAAAATCTCGTATATTACTATCAGTTATTTGCTTAATGCAAAACGTATTTATTTCAATTAATGTTTTATGGACGCTTCAATATAAATTAGGATGCAAAAAACTGTAGCGCCTTAGAAATCCTCCATACTGTTTAGAGCAGGGAATTGCTACCACACAGCCTATAATCCCCTTAGCAGCGTGTCTGAAATTCTTCCAGATTCTGTCAAGCTTCAAAACTCAACAGCACCACCCACAAACCAACTTTTACCTGCCCATTCCCAGGCCTTCTAATATGCATTCCCCCAGCCCAGGTCCCCCCACCTGGAACTAATGTTTAAAATTCTCGAGGCTCGTGGCACCATTTAGCTGCACGTCAGTTAACTTAAAGCCCACCGACCTCCTCCCCCTAGGACCTTGGGGCAATTTCATGACCTTGCAGGGTTATGGTGTCAGCAAGTGGTTTCAAGGCAGTGCTAGGTGTCCTTCCCTTCCCCGCCCTCAGACAGATCTATACCGTCCCTTCTGCACCAAGACCACCCTCAGGGGCATCTAGGATGTTCGCCTTTGCTGTTCCAGAACCCAGCAAAGCGTCTGCAACACGGGAGGTGCTCGACGGCCGCGCTCTCTGACTCGATCGAATCTTAAAGGGTCACTCTGTCCAGCACTGGAGGGTTTCAAAGGGCGTCAAGGACAAAAAGCACAACTTAACATTTCCCCTGGGCTATCGCTCAGGCTCCCGACACCTCGCGGGCCCCGAGACTGGGGGCCTGGCTCGCAGCGGAAGCTCAGGAAGTGTTGATTAGCTGAGGGAACTCAAGACCGCCCAGACGTCAATCTGGACTCAGGCCGCAGTCCCGAGGTCCCAGGTGGCCCTCCGGCCTCAGGGGACCGGGCGGGACCTTGCTCCGCCAGAGCCGGGCCCTGCGCACGCCTCGCCGGCCTCGGAGCCGCTTCCTGCAGCCCCGCTACCCGGCGCTTCCGAGGGGCCAGGGGCCCAGTCAGGCCCTGCGACCCCAGATCTGCTCCTGCGCCCATCTCCTCCTCCCTGCCCCGTGCCCAAGCTCTTCCATCCCTTGCGTTCCTGCCGATCTTCCCGCAAGTTGCCATACCATTGAGGCTGCAAGGTCCAGGCCGACAGCCCAGCTACGCCCGCGCGAGAGAACATGGTAGCCCCAGCCCTGCTGAAGGTCGGTCAGGCAGGCCTCAGCGCGCATGCGCAGAAGCTTCCTAGCGCGCTCCCCCCCCCCACCTCGCTCTCTTCTTCAGTCTCGTTTCCTCGCGCTACGGCGAGAGGAGTCTCGCGAGCGTTGCAACCCAGTCGTCCCAGGCCCCACCTCTTTTCGCCTCTCTGCTGGGATTTGTCCCGCCCACCGCCGCCAGCCAAGTTCCGTTTCCGGCTTGCTGGGCACTAGGGTCCAGAAAGTGACCGCTGCCGTGGTCGCCATGGGGAAGTCGGATTTTCTTACTCCCAAGGCTATCGCCAACAGGATCAAGTCCAAGGGCCTGCAGAAGCTACGCTGGTATTGCCAGATGTGCCAGAAGCAGTGCCGGGACGAGGTGAGTGGGCCCTGAGTGGCCTCGTCTTCCCAGGAGGGCCCCTGGGAATCCAGGATCAGGTCCTGGACGCGGGGCTGAGGGCGCGGGGCCGGGACTCCTGGGATACGGGTCGTGAGGCTTCTGAAGTCTGCACTGGGCGAGTCAACTACTCAGCGCACTAGAGCCGTCCCTCCCCGCAACCCGCGGGGCCAGCGGGCAGCCTGTGTTCTGCGACCCCTCATTCCTCCCTAGTTCCGATCCCCACCATCAAAGAAACGACATCAGAAAAGGTTTTGCAGCCCTCACAAGGGCGGGGATACTGCAATACTAGATGCCCGGGCAATGCCAGTAACAGTCATCAGCTCTGACTTGACTTGGCTCTTAAGAGCTGAGATCCGGCCACTGCACTCCAGCCTGGGCGACAGAGCGAGACTCCGTCTCAAAAAAAAAAAAAAAAAAAAAAAAAAGAGAAACAGGGTGGTTAAGATACACACCTCTTTTGGGATCAGTTGAAAAAGAAGAGCTAAGCTTTTCCACACAACTCATCTAGCAAGCATTTATTGAGCACCTACACTGTACCGGGCACTGAATAATACTGTGGTTAAGATTATGGATTTATCTGGTTTATGGATATATCAGACTGTCAAAATTTAAAGTCAAGCTGGGCCACTTACCAACCATGTGGTCTTGGTCAAGTTATTTACTTATATTCTCCTTTAAAGAGGGAATAATACTTTCACCTACTTGTAGGATTGTCGTTGAGTTTTAAATGAGTGAAGTATATATAGAGTGGCTCAAGGAGTCTGGGCTGATCTTGAAAAGCCTTATATGCTGCACTATGGAATTTATGCTTTTCCCCGTTAAAGAGGTGGTTGATGGAATGCTCTGCAGGCTAGAGATGTGATCATAATTTTCTCCGAAGATTGGACTGGATTGGGTAAGGGTGGAAGAACACTGAGGCAAGTGGAATAATCTAATCCAGTGTTTCTACGAGTGAAGGAAGAGATATTTTAGGTGGGGCTCATACTGACTAACATGGATACAGTTATTCTCTTTAGTTCTATTAATGAATACCTGTATATCCATTATCTAATGTCTTAGTCTGCTTGGACTGCCATATAAAATGCAATAGATTGGGTGGTTTAAATGACAGAAATTTATTTCTCACAGTTCCGGGGGCTGGGAAGTTCAAGATCAAGGTGCTGGCATGGTCAGATTCTAGTGAGGGTCCTCTTCTTGTTTTGCAGAAACTGCCTCTATCCTCACAAAGCAGATAGAGCAAGCTCTAGTAGACACTTCTCTTCCTCTTTTTTTTTTTTTTTTAAGATAGGGTCCCACCCTGTTCATCATGCAGGCTCTACCCTTGTGACCTCATCTAAACCCGGTCACCTCCAAAGGCCCATCTCCTAATGCCATCCCCTTGGGGGTTAGGGTTCAACATATGAACTTTGGGGGGGATGCAAACATGCAGTCAGTAACATCCAGACTTAACACTTTAAGTAATCTTGCCATGTTTAATTTATAAAAAATATTTTAAAGTAAATTACCAATATCAAGATATTTCACCTCTAAATACTTAAATAGACATCTCTAAAATTTCAGGATTCTTTTCTATATAACCACAATATATGTAATCAACATAACAAAATTAATAGAAGTTCCTCTTTATCTAATACACATTCACACTTCCTCAGTTGTCCTCCAACTGCTTCTTGAAATCAAGATTCAATCAAAAGTCATGGACTGTTACAGATTTGGTTATTAGGACCCCCACCCCCCGAGTCTCCCTCATCATCAGCATCCTGCAACAGGCTGTTATATTTGTTACCGTGGATGAAACTACATTGACACATCAGTATCATCCAGAATCCATAGTTTACATTAGGGTTCACTGTTGGTGTTTTATATCCTATGGGTTTTGACAAATGCATAATGATATGTATTCACCATTATAAAATCTCACAAAATAGTTTAACTGCCCAAAAAGTTATCTGTGCTCTGAGTTATTAGGACTTTTAGTTTTCTCTAAATTTAATTCTCTCTATATTCTGAATTTAGAATATAACCCATTTTCTCTCCACCCCTTTTTCTTTTTTTTTTTTCCAGACAGAGACTTGCCTGTCTCACAGGCTGGAATGCAGTGATGCGATCTCACTCACTGCAGCTTCTGCCTCCTGGGTTCAAGTGATTCTCATGCCTCAGCCTCCCAAGTAGATGGGATTACGGTCACCTGGCACCCCGCCTGGCTAATGTTTGTATTTTGGTAGAGGCAAGGTTTTGCCACGTTGGCCAGGCTGGTCTCAAACTCCTGTCCTCAGGTGATTCACCTGCCTCGGCCTCCCAGAGTGCTGGGATTACAGGCGTGAGCCACCGCGCCCGGCCTTCTTTTTCTTGACATTGACTTGTTAAAGAGAGAAGGCCAGGCTATTGTCCTGTAACATCCCATATATGTTGACTTGTTTCCTCTGGTTGTCTTTTGCCTTCTAACTCGTAGTTTCTGTCAATTGGAAATTATATCTAAAAGCTTTGATTGGGCTAGGTTAAACATTTTGGGGAGGAAGAATACTTTGTAGGTGATCTTGATTGATTAATTTCAGGTTAAACACTTGCGGGGAGGAATATAGTTTTTTTTGTTTTTTGTTTTTTGTTTTGTTTTTGTTTTTGTTTTTGTTTTTGAGACAAGGTCTCAATCGGTAGCCCAGGCTGGAGTACAGTGGCACGATCATGGCTCACTGCAACCTTGACCTTCCCAGCTCAAGCAACCCTTCTCCTGCCTCAGCCTCTCAAATAGCTGGAACCACAGGTACATGCCACCCATGCCTAATGAACTTTTTTATTTGTATTGAGATAGGGTCTCCTCGTGTTGCCCAGGCTGGTCTGAAGCTCCTGAACTCAAGCAGCCCTCCTGCCTCGGCCTCCCAAAGTGCTGGGATTACAGGCTCAAGCCACCATGCCCAGCCTATAGTATTCGTTATAGGTGATCTTGTATATTTCATATAGCATCACGTAAGGAAGCCAATAATGTTTGGTAGTACTTAAATGGAGTAAAGGTGACAGCTTGTAAATAATATTAGAAAGTAATATTTTCCCCCTTGTAAGAGCAAGTAAGTATTGGGGCAATGCTTAGAAATCCTGCCTATATATCTAGTTTCCTATTATCCTTTTACCTGTGTGTTTTAGCATCCTTGCCTGAGTCAGTTATTTTATTAGGAGTGTCAGAGAGGTTATTTTTCTAATTTTTTTTAACATTTATGATTGGCTGCCATGCTTTTGTACAAATGAGCTTTTGCTCATCCACTAAGGCTATTTGGTTATCCTTAAACTTATTGTTTTCTTTTTGAGACAGGATCTTACTCTTGGTCAGACTGGAGTACAGTGGCTCTATCACAGCTCATGGCATCCTCTAACTCCTGGGCTCAAGCAATCCTCCTGCCTCAGCCTCTCAAGTAGCTGGGACTATCGGCACATACCACCCATGCCTGGCTAATTTTAAAAAATATTTTGTGGAGATGGAGGTCTCGTTGTGTTGCTCAGGTTGGTCTTGAACTCGGAGGCTCACACAATCCTCCTGCTTTGGCCTCCTAAAGTGCTGGGATTACAGGCATGAGCCACTGTGTCTGGCCATCCTTAAATGTTATACTGAGATGCAATTTTTATGGGGAAGGAGTAAAGAATTAATTCTTTTTTATAATTATCAATTTTCAGAGTAAGGCCCCCGCAGTGTTTCTGTGTCTATTTGTCCTCAGATCTATTCATTGCCCGGAATTCCCTACCTAGGAGGTGGGCTGGGAGAGGGAGATAGGTGACCCCTATGGTTTCGCTTCCCCATCTTCTATCTCCTGATACTGGAAGACTGAAGAGAGTGAAGGTCAGAGCCAGTGTATCCCCCCCGTCTACTCCTGGGTTTCTAGGATTTCATAACTTTATTGATTGTTCATTTTATTTTTTCTTAGTTTATAGAAAGTGATACTTTTTTTTAATTTATGAGGCTGATACCAAGTTTCTTTTTAAAATAAATTTAAATAATAACTGTGATTCTTATAGGGCACAGATGAGGCAAAAATTGTAAGAGGTCCATGATCTAAAGATTAGGAAACTATTTGAAGCAAAATCGAGTGTGGAAATCTGGACAGTGTCAGTGAGATTGAACAGAGGGACTGGATATGGGTTATTAAGAAGCTGAATAGACTTCCTATTAAATTGAAGGTAGAAAGAGAAGGGGTCGGGCGCGGTGGTTCACGCCTGTAATCCCAGCACTTTGGGAGGCCAAGGTGGGTGGATCACCTGAGGTTGGGAGTTCAAAACCAGCCTGACCAACATGGAGAAACCCGTCTCTACTAAAAACACAAAAATTAGCCAGGCATGGTGGCGCATGCCTGTAATCCCAGCTACTCGAGAGGCTGAGGCAGGAGAATCACTTGAACCCGGGAGGCAGAGGTTGTGGTGAGCTGAGATTGCGCCATTGCACTCCAGCCTGGGCGAAAAGAGCGAAACTCCGTCTCAAAAAAAAAAAAAAAAAAAAAAAAAAAAAAGAGAGGAAGGAATCTAGGATGTTATCTGGTTTCCTGGCTTGGGTGATTGTGCTTCAGATAGAGATAGGGAATAGAAGAAAGGCACATTTTTTGTTTCTATTACTAGTGAAGAATGAGGTTCAAATATGAAGGAGAGGTAGATACTCAAAACTTGCATGTTTTTTCCAGTCATTTTAAGAAGGTACAGATGTTTAACAAGGTTAATATAATATGCAGCAATGTCTTTTGGATAATGAGCTGAAGTAGAGGAAAGTGAGCGACAGTAGTTTCTGTGTTGGAAATTCACTAATGACCCATTTTACTCTTTTAAGCACTTGTCTGACACTTTGTATAAAGTAGGTGCTCAATAAGAATTGGTTAACTTAAGTCTAAAAACTGGAATCTCTCTTCTGTTTCTGTGCCTGGTATGTTTCTTATTAATGTCTGTTTTCTACAGCACTCTTGCTGTCTCTTTGATCTCAAGGATTACTCTTTGATTAGCAGAGTTGAAAGCTCAACTCCATAAAAAATTTTTTTGAAAACCTGATAGAGTGGTTATAGCTAGTGATTTGATTATTTTTTAAATTATCATCAAAGAGCAGACTTTTTGGGTTTTAACTAAATACTTCTATTTAGAGCCCATTTTGATGACCTAAATCAGAATTTATTACTTTTACATTTTTTATAGAATGGCTTTAAGTGTCATTGTATGTCCGAATCTCATCAGAGACAACTATTGCTGGCTTCAGAAAATCCTCAGCAGTTTATGGATTATTTTTCAGAGTAAGTAACTCAAAGAACTCTTTATCTTATAAGCTTTATTCAGTTGAACACTTAATAGATGGTTATTATTTTAAATATTGGAAGTTCTATTATTTCTTATATGTTAACATAACTGTATTCTCTCTATGCTTAGTTTTTATCTTGTTTTGAAAATTAATCATACTCTTAAGACTGTTACAAAATTATTTCTCACAACTTAGTTTTTCCTTTCTTCCACTTCAAATTTACGAAGCTGTCTTTCATTCTAACACACTTGTGACAAAGAACATAGGTTCTGCGTTCAGACTTCCCAAACTCAAATCTTCTCCATTTAAAAACTGTATGCCTTTGGATGACCTACTTCGTTTTCCTGTGGTTTATTCTCCTCATCTCTAAAATGGTGCTAAAAAGTCAGGCGAGGTGGCTCACACCTGTAATCCCAGCACTTTGGGAGGCTAAGGCGGATGGATCACAACGTCAGGAGTTCAAGACCAGTGTGGCCAAGATGACGAAACCCCATCTCTACTAAAAATACAAAAATTAGCCTGACGTTGTGGTGGACGCCTGTAATCCCAGCTACTCAGGAGGCTGCGGCAGGAGAATTGCTTGAACCCGGGAGGCAGAGGTTGCAGTGAGCTGAGATTACAGCACTGCGCTCCAGCCTGGGCAACACAGCAAGGCTCCGTCTCAAAAAAAAAAAAAAAAATTGGCACTAAAAATAGCAACCTCTTCTAAGTATTGCTGATCCTTCATAGAGTTTATATGAAGGTCAATGAATTAATATTTTATGAGTGCTTAGAAGAGTGCCAATATTCAATTCAGATTAGCTGTTGTTACAATTACCATTGATAACCATCTCTTTGCTTGTTACCATCTCTTTCTTTCCAAACTTCTAGACATTTTGGTCCTAGGACCCCGTTATACTTATAAAAAGTATTGAAGACCCCAAGAACTTCTGTTTATATGGGTTATATGTATCAACACATAGAAATCAAAACAAGTTTTTTAAAAAAATTGGTTTATAAATTATTGAGACAGAGTTTCACTCTTATTGCCCAGGCTGGAGTGCAGTGGCATGATCTTGGCTCACTGCAACCTCTGCCTCCTGGGTTCAAGCGATTCTCCTGCCTCGGCCTCCCGAGTAGCTGTAGCTGGGATTACAGGCATGTGCCACCATGCCCGGCTAATTTTTTATATTTTTAAGAGAGAAAGGGTTTCGGCATGTTGGCCATGTTGGTCTTGAACTCCTGACCTCAGGTGATCCACCCGCCTCAGCATCCCAAAGTGCTGGGATTACAGGCGTGAGCCACCGTGCCCAGCCATAAATTAATTTTTAAAAATAATACACTTATGTGTTAAAGTTAATAATGTTTTTAATGAAAAACAAGTACATCTTCTAAATTTTAAAACATGCATTGTTTTACATCTTTGCACATCTCTTCAGTGTCTCACCTGATAGAGGCCAGTTGAATTCTTGAATCTCCGTCTGCATTCAGTCTGTTGGGAAATGTTTTGATTGAAGCACGGAAAGAAAATCCAGCCCTTGAGTTCACGGTCTAGTAAGGAAGAAAGAAAAATCCAGCCTTTACATAGATATGTAGTTGGAAGCAGGGGGAGTATTTTAATAATATTTTCAGATAATTTTCTTCCTTGATACTACATCAAAACACAATGCATGGCAGTGTCTTAAAGATGAGTCCCAGTGGGGACTCTGAAACCAGGTCAGTGAACCTTTTGTACTCTGTTACATTAAAATCCATGGGTTGTCTTTGATTTTGAGTGACTCTTATACCCCATGCATGATTTCGTAACATGCACTGGTCATTTTAAAACTTATCATTTCACTGACTTTCATAGATCTTCCCAATGGTGACAGATTTTATCAAACAGTGTCATAAAATCATTCATTAATGTCAACACTGAAGTCATCAGAAACATCTTTAAAAGTATTGGGAATTATGTCAGCCTCACAGTGGCAGTTACTAGTTGGGAGTTCAGATTTTATCATTGGCAACAAATACTATCAGTTGTTTCCCTTAATGTGACAGACATACTTTATTTTTTAGAAACTGTTTGCCAAATACTCAATTTGGAATAATGCTAGTGTATATATCAGGTATTATTTCAAATAAAAATGTTGTTCCATGAAAAAGACATTTCAGCTCACAGCTCACCACGTGCTTTTCTCAGGCCAGCTGTTGTTCAGCAGCAGAAGTGGTTCATTCATAAATTTCATTCCCTGACACACAGCGTTAGACGTGAACTGGGGGGCTGACATTTGATACAGTCCTAATTCTGACCGCAAGTGTATGATGGTAAAGAACACTTGGACTGCTAGCGTGGTTTGGGATCACTGCTTGCTGCCTTGATTTTGCTAAGCTGCCAGCGAGCTTTCCCTCCATGGCTTTTATACCATCAGTGCAGATAACACAGTGACAGAGGCAACAATTGTTTATCTGTGAACCACCTCAAACCATCTCGAGTGGCACATGGTGCATCTGCTGTGCTGGAAAGCACTGTTTTGGCAAGAGCCAGTTCCACCCAGTGCCCTCCTCTCCACTCCCGTTCACTCCCCGGTCCCCTGGAGACTGACTTCCGCCCTTTCGGGGCCTGAAGAGTCCCTCACGCCTTTTCCATCTTCATCCTCCTTGATCTTTCTTCTTACCTCTTCACTGACACCCATGTCTTTCATTCTTTCATAGTTTTCCTGCTCCTACTCCCACTGTGCATGTTTCTTCATCAACCGCGTTCCTCTCTAGCTCCTCATACAGGAAAGTTCTTCCAGATGCCCAAGTGACTCCTTCTCACCCCACTGCACACGGTCTCTTTGAGTCCCGTTATTCTTTTAACTGTTACCTTTCTGTCTGAATGATTCCGAAATCTTGATGTTTATTCCTAACATCTGCTTTTGAGTTACAGATTTTTTTTTTCCCTTCCTGGGTGATCTAATCTGTTTCTGAAGGCTGTGTCAAAGTTAACGTTTCTGAAGTTGAACTCAGTATTCTCTCCACACAACTTTCTTTCTTTTTTTTTTTTTTGTTTGAGGGGCAGGGAGAGGGGGGATGGAGTCTCACTCTGTCACCCAGGCTGGAGTGCAGTGGCACAATCTCGGCTCACCACAACCTCTGCCTCCCAGTTTAAGCGGTTCTCTCGCCTCAGCCTCCTGAGTAGCTGAGATTACAGGCACGTGCCACCGCACCTAACTAATTTTTGTATTTTTAGTAGAGAATGGGTTTCACCATGTTGGTCAGGCTGATCTTGAACTCCTGACCTTGTGATCCACCCGCCTCAGCCTCCCAAAGTGCCGGGCTAAGCACCTGTCTTTTGTTTTACTAAGACAAGGTCTCTTTGCCCAGGCTGGAGCGTGGTGGTACAATCATAGCTCATTGCAGCTCTATCTCTCTGGCTTAAGTGATCCTCTCACCTCAACCACTCGAGTAGCTGGGACTAAAGGCGTGGCTACTTCTTTTTGTTTAGCAGAAATCAGGCCTCACTACTGTTGCCCTGGCTGGTCTTGAACTCCTAGGCTCAAGCAATCTTCCCTCCTTAGCCTCCCAAAGTGCTGGGATTACAAGTGTCAGCCAAACCTGCTTCTTCTTCTATGCTGGCGAATAGCCATCACCCACACTCCTCAGCTGTAAACCACAAGTCCTCTTGGAATTTCCATTTGTCAGTTGTCCTGCACAACGTCCTTTATACTATGTTGTTTCCATTCTCACTGGCCTAGCAGTAGTTCTCTGCGTCTCTCACCTGAAGTATTTTAGTGAGGTTCTCACTGGTCGCCCAGCCTGCAGCTTCAGCCCCTTCTGTACGTGTTTTATACCAGTGATTCACAAACTGCTGAGTGCATCAGAGTCACCGCACTTCTGAGGCGGTCAGTCTGGGGCAGGGCTGGGGTCTTTTAGTTTCTGTCAAGTTCTCAGCGGATGCTGATGCTGCTGGTCTAGAGGCCACAATTTGAGAATTACTGTTCTCTGCTATCTACCAGATTTTAACACATTTCTCCAAAGTTTTAAAAATATATTTAAAATGTTTTAATACTATATATATGTGTGTGTATATATATATTTATATATATATATTTTTTGAGACAGAGTCTCACTCTGTCCCCTAGGCTGGAGTACAATGTCATGATCTCCGCTCACTGCAACCTCTGCCTCCCAGGTTCAAGTGATTCTCCTACCTCAGCCTCCCGAGTAGCTGTGACTACAGGCACCCGCCACCACACCTGGCTAATTTTTTGTATTTTTAGTAGAAATGGGATTTCACTGTGTTAGCCAGGATGGTCTCGATCTCCTGACCTCCTCGTGATCCGCCCACCTCAGCCTCCCAAAGTGCTGGGATTACAGGCATGAGCCAACGTGTTGAGCCTTTTTTTTTTTTTTTTTTTTTTTTTTTCTTTTTTAAGACAGGGTCTTGTTCTGTGGCATAGTCATGGCTTACTACAGCCTTGACCTCCTGGGCTCAGGCAATCCTCCTGCTTCAGCCTACCGTGTAGCTGGGAACATAGATGCATGCCACCACACCTGGCTAATTTTTAAATTTTTTTTGTTTAGAGACAGTGTCTCACTTTGTTGCCCAGGCTGGTCTCGAACTCCTGGGCTCAAGTGATCCTCCTGTCTCGACCTCCCAAAGTCCTGGGATTACAGGTATGAGCCATTGCACCTGGGCCAAACAAAATTATTTAATGCTTTTCTATTGACTGCACAAAACTCAGCCTCTTTCACGTGACATTCAAGGTACTTCAAAAATTAGCCAAACCTTAGTTTGGTTTTCCAGCCACATCATCTCCCTTATTCTACTCTACCCTCCCTCTCACTCTGATTTTTATCAGCCATAAATTTTAGTCAAATTAAGCCATTTGTCAGATATGTGAGGCTTTCATGTTTCTTTGCCAGCTGGAAAGAGCTTTCTCTTGCAGTTCACCTCTAGGGTTCTACTTATCCTTCACCGCCCACAATAAAATCACCTCTGGGCATCTCCTGTGACTCTTTCAATGATATTTTGTTACGTTTCTTTTTCATTATGATTGGTTCTGCTAGATTATAACCTCTTTGAAAGTTAAGATTTATGTCTTATTCACCTAGGTTTATCTAGCACTTACTACAGTGTACCCAGCTCAGAGTCACATATTAAATGCCAATTTCACGTGGAATCAGGGCAGTTTTGTTATCATAGATAGACTGGGGTCATTATGCCACCATCAGTGGCACTAACAGACTTCATGAAGGAATCATTCCGAAGGTACGTGGTAACTTTTTCTATGACTGCTTTACCAAGACAAAACATTTCAACTCCAAACTGTCTTTTAATCCTTAAAAGCTGTAATCTTTTGGAGTTCTTTCCTTGATCAGTTTTTAAAGGTTCACAGCCATATTCATGTAGATGTTTCATATATCATTTGGACATTAAAACTATACTGGCTGGATGCAGTGGCTCATGCCTGTAATCCCAGCAACTTGGGAGGCTGAGGCAGGTGGATCACCTGAGGCCAGGAGTTTGAGACCAGCCTGTCCAACATGGTGAAACCCCATCTCTACTAAAAATTAAAAAAAAAAAATTAGCCGGGCGTGATGGTTGACCACTGTAATCCCAGATACTTGGGAGGCTGAGGCAAGAGAAATCACTTGAACTTGGGAAGTGGAGGTTGCAGTGAGCTGAGATCATGATTGCACCATTGCACTCCAGCTTGGGTGACAAGAACGAGACTCCATCTCAAAGAAAACAAAAACAAAAAACTATACTACTGCTGAAATTTCAGAAAGATGATGCTTTATGTTTGTAGAAATTACCTTAATGCTTTCCTTTCTTTCTTTATTAGGGAATTCCGAAATGACTTTTTAGAACTTCTCAGGAGACGCTTTGGTAAATATTTTAAGTATTGTGCAAATAGTAACTTTATAAATCGCATAATCTTCTGAGGATCATCAGTGTCGTATTTTGTTCTCAGGCACTAAAAGGGTCCACAACAACATTGTCTACAATGAATACATCAGCCACCGAGAGCACATCCATATGAATGCAACTCAGTGGGAAACTCTGACCGATTTTACTAAGTGGCTGGGCAGAGAAGGTAAGAATGAGATTTCAAAGTTGCTTTTTCTTTCCCATTTCTAATCTTCATAGGATGAGATATTTGGGATAAGAAAAGAAAAAAACTTGGGTCAATGTTTTGCTTATTCATCATGTTACTTGATTCCATTTTGGGAGCATAATTTCTGCCTTAAGTTAATAGAACATCATATAACCATTGGATATTAAATACTTAGATAGAATTGAATAAACACTATGCAAGATAATACAGTTGTCTCTCAGTATCATGGGGGATTGGGTCCAGGACCCCTTGCTGATAACCAGAATTCACAGATACTCAAGTCCCTTATATAAAATAAAATGATATAGTACTTGCGTATAACCTATATACATCCTCCCTCGTACTTTAGATTTCTTATAATATTTAATACAATGTAAATAGTTTTTATACTCTATTGTTAGGGAAAAATGAGAAGGAAAAAATGTCTGTGCATGTTCAGTACAGATGCAACTATTCGTTTTTCTTTTTTTGAATATTTCTCACCCACAGTTGGTTGAATCCATATATAGTATCTAAACTTCATTAAATATAAATATGTAAAATCCCATTTGCTGCATGAATTTGTGTATTTGAATGTATTTTAGTGTATTTGGTGTTCTGTTTTGTTTTTGAGACTGAGTCTCACTCTGTTGCCCAAGCTGGAGTGCAGTGGCGCGATGTCAGTTCACTGCAGTCTCCAGCTCCCAGGTTCAAGCTATTCTCCTGCCTCAACCTCCTAAGTAGCTGGGATTACAGGTGTGCGCCACCATGCCCAGCTAATTTTTGTATTTGTAGTAGAGATGGGGTTTCACTGTGATGGCCAGGCTGGTCTTGAGTTCCTAACCTCAAGTGATCCACCTGTGTCAGCCTCCTAAAGTGCTGAGATTACTTGTGTAAGCCACGGTGCTCGGCCTGATTTGAGTGTATTTGAATGAATAAATATGCAGCGATGAAACACATTCATATTTGTGTTTTGCTTTGATTGTATGCTAATTTATGGTGGCGGCTGTTTTTTTAAGGCTTGTGCAAAGTGGATGAGACACCAAAAGGCTGGTATATTCAGTACATAGACAGGGACCCAGAAACTATTCGCCGGCAACTGGAACTGGAGAAAAAGAAAAAGCAGGACCTTGATGATGAAGAAAAAACTGCCAAATTTATTGAAGAACAAGTGAGAAGAGGCCTGGAAGGGAAGGAACAGGTGGGCAAGCAATATCATCCTGAGAAGCAATGTCCAAAGGTCTAAAGAAGCATAATGGCTTGGTTTTTTGTTTTTTTTTGTTTTTTGAGACGGAGTCTTGCTCTGTCACCCAGGCTGGAGTACAGTGGCACAATCTCAGCTCACTGCAACCTCTGCCTCCCGGGTTCAAGCAATTCCCCTGCCTCAGCCTCCTGAGTAGCTGGGACTATAGGCGCCGCCACCACGCCCAGCTAATTTTTATATTTTTAGTAGAGACAGGGTTTCACCATCTTGGTCAGTCTGGTCTCCAACTCCTGACCTCAGGTGATCTGCCCGCCTCAGCCTCCCAAAGCAACAGGATTACAGACATGAGCCACCACACCCGGCCAGCTTGTGTTTTTTCAGCATTGAATCAAGTTTCTGGGCGCACTGTTCCTTAACTAAGAGGAGAACCAGCCTGGTGTCAAAAGCACATTTGACTTACTAACTTCATAATCTTGTATAATTACATAGTCTCTCCAAACCTCAATTTCCTTATATCTAAATAGAGACGCTACCTAATGGGAAGACATATACACAGATCATTTCAACTGATTATAATTAATTCAGTACTGGAGGTAAACGCAGCGTGTAGAAACATAGAGAAGCAATGTTTACTCTGGCCTGGGGACGATAGGGTATTTGAGGGTGGATACAACCTCAGTGCCCAGGAGTCTTGAAGAATCAGTGGGTGCAAGCCAGATGAATGGGGAGGGAAGGAGCTGAGGTGTTAGAATAACTAGGTTGAGGCATTTATTTCAACATATATTTATCAGTGCCTCCACTGTGCCAGGATTCTTGTAGGCGCAGGGAATACTCAGTGAACAAAAGGTACAAAAAAACTCTCTCCTGTGGCTTACTGTTTTTTGTTTTTTTTTTTTTTGAGACGGAGTCTCACTCTGTCACCCAGGCTGGAGTGCGGTGGCGCAATTTCAGCTCACTGCAACCCCCGCCTTGTGGGTTCAAGTGATTCTTGTGTCTCAGCCTCCCAAGTAGCTGGGACGACAGGCATAAACCACCACGCTGGGCTAATTTTTTGCATTTTTAATAGAGATGGGGTTTTGTCATGTTGGCCAGGTTGGTCTCAAACTACTGACCTCAGGTGATCCCCCCTCCTCAGCCTCCCAAAATGCTGAGATTACTGGCATGAGCCACCACGCCCAGCCTTCTGTGGCTTACATTCTAACACCTGTGTGTGAGCAGGCAAATATAGCCTGGTGTGTATGTGAAACTGAGTGGTTTTTGAACTGTTTATTGAGCTCTAACATACATTGATTAAAGTGTATGAGGTGCATTAATCTTATGTGTACAGTTCACTGAACTCTTACAATATATGTGTGTAGAAAGAGTGACAGATAAGGTGTGGAACCACCACCCAGATAAAGATATAGGACTTTTCTAGTATCCCAGAGGGTTTCCTCATGCTCATTGCCGATTAATACCCCATCTCCCAGAAGTAACCATTGTTCCAATATACCACTATTGATTATTCATTAGTTTAGTCTGTTCTTGAACAGACTTAAAAAAAAAAAAGTTTTTGCTTTTCCTAAAGTTTATTGCCTTATATTTTTGTTATTTCCTGTTTAAGTTGTAATAGAAATAAGAATATAGGTAAACTTATGCCATTTGGTACAGAAAAGCTACTTTTTGGTATTTAGAATAATTCTCAATTGGATAATATTTGCAAAGCATGTAAGTTCTAATTTTTTTTGAGAGACTGTCTCTCTCTGTCACCAGGCTGGAATGCAGTGGCGTGATTACAGCTCACTGCACCCTTGACCTCTGGTGCTCAAGTGAACCTCTTGCTTCATATGAGTAACTGGGACTATAGACATGCACCACCATGCCTGGCTAATTTTTTTTTTTTTTTTTTTGTAGAGATGGGGGTTCTTGCTATGTTGTCCAGGCTGGCCTCCAACTCCTGGCCTCAAGCATTCCTCCCGCCTGAGCTTGGCCTCCCAAGGTGCTGGGATTACAGGCATGAGCCACCATGCCCAGCCAAAGCATGTAATTTCTTTTGTTTTTTGGTTTTTTTTGAGACAGCATCCTGCTCTGTCACCCAGGCTGGAGAGTGCAGCGGCATGATCTTGGCTCACTGCAACCTCCGCCTCCCAGGTTCAAGCGATTCTCCTGCCTCAGACTCCCGAGTAGCTGGGATTACAGGCGCCCGCCACCACACCCGGCTAATTATTTTTAGTAGAGACGGGGTTTCACCAAGTTGGCCAGACTCATCTCGCTCTTTCGCCCAGTCTGGAGTGAAGTGGCGCAATCTCAGCTCACTGCAACACTCACCCCCTGGGTTCAGGCGATTCTCCTGGCTCAGCCTCCTGAGTAGCTGGCATTACAAGTGCCCGCCATCACACCCAGCTAAATTTTTGTATTTTTAGTAGAGACAGAGTTTCACCATGTTGGCCAGGCTTGTCTCGAATGCCTGACCTCAGGTGATCCACCTCCCTTGGCCTTCCGAAGTGTTAGGATTACAGGCGTGAGCCACCGTACTGGGCCAAAAACATATAATTTCTTTTCATTTTCTTTTCTTTTTTTTTTGAGACAGAGTCTCATTCTGTTACCCAGACTGGAGTGCAGTGGCACAATCTTGGGTCACTGCAACCTCCGCCTCCCAGGTTCACGCGATTCTCCTGCCTCAGCCTCCTGAGTAGCTGGGATTACAGGTGCACACCAGCATGCCCAGCTAATTTTTTGTGTATTTTTAGTAGAAACAGGGTTTCACTATGTTGGCCAGACTGGTCTCAAACTGCTGATCTCGTGATCTGCCCGCCTCAGCTTCCCAAAGTGCTGGGATTACAGGCGTGAGCCACCACGCCCAGCCAAAAGCATGTAATTTCTTAATTAGGATCTTAATCACTTGTGTGTTAGAGCTGCCTGGCAACACAGGTAGCAAGTCATAATTTAGGCCTATTGAAGGGTGATAGTAAGTGCACTGTACACCAAAACCTTAAAACTTTCTTTTTTTTAGGAGGCCCCTACTTTTACGGAATTAAGCAGAGAAAATGATGAAGAGAAAGGTAGTTTTATTTTTTCTTTTCTTTCTTTTTTTAAACATAGATGCTTTTATATTGGTTTTGTTAAAAATGCAACTTGTCATCCTATCTGGGAGTAAGACATCCAATCTGTCTGAGTTACATTGTTGTTATTTAATGAAAAGGTAATACTAATGAATTAATTGGATAGGCTAGCTGGAGCTACATGTAACAAAATTGACTAAGTTAGCTTAAACAATAAGGAAATATCTTGCCATAATAAGAATCTCAGAGGTAAGGTGGTTCTGCGTGCTGTATGGACACAGGGTAGCTGCCAACACGCCAGCCATCACATGCAGACTCTGCATTGTTGTGAGGGTGGCAGAGAGCATCTCTGGATGCTCTTCTAGAATCCTGTTAGGAGCAAGGATACTTTTCCAAGAAGACACTCCTCTCTTCAATAGATTTCCTTTCAGATGTCATTGGCCAGAACTGTGTCACACGTCCACCCAAAAAGCAGTCACTGGGATTATGTTGATTGGTTTAGACAATCAGAATTTACCCCAGAGATGAAAATGGTGTTGTGTCCCCCGAGCCACAGGCAAGGGGTATGGAGACCTAAACTGAATTGGAGTACTGTTCACCAGGGGAAATGGGGATAGAGCAGGGAAGTGCCTGTGTGGTCTGCCACGGTGACGTGGCGTACAAGGTTCCTCCTGTTCTATGGTTGTCAGTCTGGGACGTTTTACAGGAATGTGTGGTCTCCACATAGGAACATTTTAGCTCTCGTTTATTGAAAATGTCCCTGAGATCCTCTGTGAACACTTTGTAGTATCTTATCTGAGAAGTGTTATTATGATTTTCCTGAAATGTACATGTGGAATAACATTTTTTTCTTCTAGTCACGTTTAATTTGAGTAAAGGAGCATGCAGTTCATCCGGAGCAACGTCTTCCAAGTCAAGGTGAGCTGCATCATTCATGGATATCTTAACACTTTAGGATTTTTGTGAAATATTGGTTACTGCATTTTGAAGTATTGTGAATCTTTTTTTTCTAACTGTAGTTGTAGTTTTCACCTTTTTTTGTTTTTTGTTGGTTGCACTGTTTTCGTGTCAATTGTTCTTTTTTTTTTTTTTTTTTTAAAGAGATAGGGTCTTGCTATGTTGCCCAGGCTGGCCTTGAACTCCTGGGCTCAAGGTGATCTTCCTGCCTCAGCCTCCCAGGTATCAGTAGCTGGGATTACAGTCACACCCTACTGTGCCCAGCCAGCAACTGTTCTTTTCCTATTTGCCTGTGATGAGATGGTTCTGTTTTGTGAGGAAAGCCTCATTTTGATTATATGTTTCACATGAATAAACTATTGCTTCTCCATGAATCCTTCTCCATTTAACGGTTCCTTGTTTGCTATATAAAACTGTTTATTTTCCTGTCTTGGCCACTTGCCACAGTTTAAATGTTAGCTGGGTATGCATTTTTCTTTCGCTTGCTGCATTGTGAGTTTTCTGAGAATAGAGATTATCAACCTCTCTCCTTAGCCTCCAGTACAGTGTAAATGTACCAGGAAACACTCAGTAATCATTACCTGCCCTTCTAGATGGTCTAGCACAGGGTAGGGGTCAGCAAACTTTTTCTGTAAAGAGACGCACAGTAAATATTTTAGGCTTTTTTGGCCAGATGTCTTTGTCACAATAACTGAACTCTGCTGTCGTAGTGAGAAAGCAGCCGTGGACAGCGCATGAAGGAACTGAGCATGGCTGGGTTCCAGTAAATTTATTTACAAAAGCTGGTGGCAGGTGGCAGCTGGCATTTGGCCTTTAGGCTGTTGTTTGCCAAAACCTGGCATAGCATGTGGTCAGGTAGTTCTACCTACTTTCTACATTACTTCTCTTGCAATTTTTAATGTATTCTTTCACCAAATCTTTATTCACTATTTCTGACATGCAGTATATTCAGTTTTGTCATGGAGGTTAAAAAAGATGAGTAAGACAAGATAGTCAAGTACCAGTGTCTACTGGAATTTGCTTTTCAACTGGGTGATATTTTCTATTTTACTTAGTACTTTACATATTTTTTTTTAAGATCTAAGTTTTTCAGGTTTGTTTATAGGTCATTGTTTATTTACACTATTGAATAAGTGGCTAGGAGTATGGAAGGAGATAGATAGGCTGAATCAGCAGTATAGATCAGCTTTAAAATGATTTGCCAGATGTCTTAACTTTGATCAAAATAATATTTCAAAATTAACACCTACATTAGATATAATCAAGAAATTGGTTATTTGGATTCTACATCTGGGTACATTCCGGAAGAATTGTCTAACATTGGCATGATATGACCTGGAAGATAGGCTCAAATATAACACACATGCCTTATTGTTTTAGAACGTTATGCATTTCTGTCTGTTCTTTTGAATTATGTGTTACTCCTAGATGTAGATAGATGTTAAAATTGGTTCCAATGTTCTCCAAATTGACCTCCCTTGTATTAGTTTTCTATGGTTGCTGTAACAGATTACCACAAACTGGGTGGCTTAAAACAACAGAAATATATTCTCTCTCTGGAGGTCAGATTCCGAATCAGCATCACTGGATTGAAATCAAGGAGCCTGCCTGCCGGCTGTGCTCTGGAGAAGAATCTGTCCCTTGCCTTTTCCAGCTCTGTTGGCCACTGGCATTACTTGGCTCATGGTTGCATCTCTCCAGTATTTAAGAGCAGCATCTTCAAATGTCTCTTTGCCCCATCCTCACATCGCCTTTTCCTTCAGGTGTCAAATCTCCCTCTACCTTGCTCTTACAAGAAAAGGAATGATTGCAGTTAGGGTCCACCCTGATAATCTAGGCCAAGCTCCTCATCTTAAGATCTTTAACTTAATCTCATTTGCAAAGACCCTTTTCTTAGATAAGGTAACATTGATAGGTTTCAGGGATAAGGACCTGATATTTTTGGGGGTCTATTCAGCCTGCTGTACCCCTATGCCACGCCTTGATATTAGAAAAAAGATTTGTTTTATTTGACCAATTTTGATAATTTATTTGATAAGATGTTGTGACGTGAGTCCATGAATAAGGAACAATATATGTATAAGTATGTAAATAGTGTCATAGATAATACAACTGAAACACATCTGATTTTTTTTCTCTGAGATTATCGTACATAATATAGTTTGGGATTCACTCTCCTGTGGATTTGTATCTCTTATATATCTAAAACCTAGAATAAACTAAATGATGTAGATATCAAAGTGGACATTTTAGGCTATGTTGAGGCACGAAAATGAGCCCCTTTATTGCTTGAAAAAGTTTACTTGATTTTCATTTCTGTTTCTTCTTTGGGCTTCTTTATCTCCTTTGAGAAGGGCTGGAATTCACTCTAGTTACTGAAAGCAAAAATGAGGGCCGTTCAAGGAGCCTTACTTTCCATTTTCTATCTGTTCATATATTCATATCTTGCCTTGATTTTATTTTAACTCTGCCTTACGCCTGTCTCAGTCTCTCACCCTTCTAATGGAATCTTGATATTGCCAGCAAAAGGACCTTTCTAAACTTCAGCTCTTACCATGTCACTCATTTCTTAACGTCTCTTGGTTTCGGCATCTCTAAGATGACCTTGAATTTTTTTACATACTATTAAGTGACTTTTGTGATCCTGTGTGTCTCCTGCCGTTTTCACTCAGCTGTGCTCACTAATTTGTGCTTTCCTAAAGGAGCCTGGAGTCTCACCCTTTCTTGCCTTTATATCTGCTATTCCCCTTCCTGGAATACCCTTTACATCTGTTTTCCCACTTCACCCTAAGATCTTGCTGGGCTTAATCCTAACTCCTCTTTTGCTAGGGTTATTAGTGCCTATTTTGTAGACATATTGTGGTTGATTATGATCTGAATTATCCCTGGATCCCTTGTTCAAAGTATACTTAAATCTAAAGAACATTTAAGTAGAAAGTTGAAGAGCTTATCTTTACATGGACTTGGCCTGTGCAAAACCCATGTCCATTATTTATAGTTGTCATACCCTGGGAAATGCGTTCAGTAATAGAATCAGAGTTTAAATGTATGTTCAGTGGGTTGAATTACAGGTCAAAACCCAGTAAGTAAAATTTTACAAAAGTAAATGGAAAGCCTGACAGTTAGGTAAAGAGAAAACAACTCCCATAAAAACAGAGTGACAGAGTCCTGACCTACAATTCTCCATTGAGAAAAGATGTAGGGGTTTTAGTTGACTTCAAACCTAAAGTAACCCAGCAGTTCATCAATCTAATGCTACCTTTAAATGTATTTTTTTAAAAGTCCAAATAAAGGAAAGTAATAAATCTGTTGTATTCTCTACTAATCATATTTTTTTTTTCTTGGTGAGCTCCATGGTAGCTTTGGGTAAATATTTATCCTTTGCTTCATCTTTTGTAAATATGACACATTAAATGATTAGATGGGTAAAAGTCATTTGATCAGCACATATTAATGGAGCATCTATTTCATGTGAGTTACAAGATAGTTACTGCTACTTTGCAGGAAAAAATAGATGGTTCCTCCCTACTACAAGAGAGGAGTCATACATACAAATGATTATCGCACAAGGTGCAGTGTGATGCATACCACAAGGCACTGTGGCAGTTCAAAACACTGCAAGATCCAAGAACCCTCAGGAAGAATGGACCTTAAAGAATTTTAACAAATGGGGATAAAAGGAGAGATTATTTTAGGTATAAAACAAGGCATGTGCAAATTTTCAGAGGCTCAAAGCATAGGGCATGGCTCAGTCAATAGCAAATTGTTCTTAGTGACTGGTGTACATAGAAAGTCAGGGATGGTGACTAGAATGGTATTCTGAGGCCAGTGGTGACAATTGTATATTGGCAGTAAAGAATTTAGAATTTACACCATCAGCCAGGTGCAGTGGCTCATGCCTGTAATCCCAGCACTTTGGGAGGACAAGGCAGGTGGATCACCTGAGGTCAAGAGTTCAAGACCAGCCTGGCCAACATTGCGAAACCCCGTCTCTACTAAAAATACAAAAATTAGCCCACCATGGTGGGGTGAGCCTGTAATCCCAGTTACTTGGGAGGCTGAGGCATGAGAATTGCTTGAACCTGGGAGGTGGAGGTTGCAATGAGCCGAGATCATGCCACTGCACTTCAGCCTGGGCAACAGAGTAAGACTCCATCTCAAAATAAATAAATAAATAAATAAAAGGATTTACATTGTCAACTCTGGGCAGTTGGGAGCAATTAAAAACTTCTAAGTAACACGTTGGAATTTTGCTTTACAAAACCAGAACTGAGAGTAACATGCTAGACTTAAATTGGTCATTTGAAAACATGTCATTTAATTATTGCATTTGAGTTAGGAGTTGGGTCATGTTATTATCTTCATTTATAGATGAAGATTTGAGGCTTAGGAAAGTGAATTACCCCAGGTCCTAATAGAAGTAGCCTCAAACCCTAATCTGCTCAACACCAAAGCCTAAGCTCACTACCATCATTTTACTATACAAAGTATAGTAGCACTGACCGAAGGAGTGAGGAGAAGGTACAGAGAGTTAAAGACAGCACCGGTTAAATGCTTACCCGGTGCTGATAGTTCTGTAAGAGATGTGGACAGGTACTCCATGGTTTTCACTAATCTCCTGTAAATTAGTCATGTCACACATTTATTCTATATTGTGAATTTTGCACATCGTAAAGCATTCGTCTGTGTACGGTTCTTGGTAACAAGCATGATACTCCTGTTCATCAGTACTCTGGGACCAAGTGCACTGAAGACAATAGGAAGTTCAGCATCAGTGAAACGAAAAGAATCTGCCCAGAGCTCAGCTCAGTCCAAAGAAAAGAAGAAGAAGAAATCTGCACTGGATGAAATAATGGAGGTACAGTTTATGGACTGCGTATGGACACCTTAGAACCCAGGGAAAATTAAATCATTTCACCATTTATTAGATTAATAGAAAATTAGGAAAATTATCATATACGGACTAGGGAATAGTGACCTCACTACATACAGTTCCCTGAACCGGAGTTGGAGCCCCTCTAAATAGGTTTAATTTATTTATTTATTTATTTATTTATTTATTTATTTATTTTTTTGAGATGGAGTCTTGCTCTGTTGCCCAGGCTGGAGTGCAGTGGTATGGTCTCGGCTCACTGCAACCTCTGCCTCCCAGGTTCAAATGATTCTCCTGGCTCAGCCTCCCGAGTAGCTGGGATTGCAGTCACCCACCACCACACCTGGCTAGTTTTTGTATTTTTAGAAGAGATGGGGTTTCGCAATGTTGGCCAGGCTGATCTCGAACTCCTGACCTCAAGTCATCCAGCCACCTCGACCTCCCAAATGCTAGGATTACAAGTGTGAGCCACCATGTGCCACCTAAATAGTTTCCTTTTATGCCTCAGGTGCTGTCTTTGAAACTGCCTGTGTAGTTACGGTCAGTAGAATTCAATTAGAAATTGGAGTCCTCCGTGGTTGGCCTCCCTCCTTCAACTGCTACTCTCCTGTTGACTTTGACTTCCACTTAGCACCTCCTAGCTAGCAAGAGAAACCTGTGACATGTTTTTTTTTTTTTTTTTGGTTGTTGTTGAGACAGAGTCTCTCTCTGTCGCCCAGGTCAGAGTGCAGTTGCACAATCTCGGTTCACTGCAGCCCCCGCCTCCCAGGTTCAAGAGATTCTCCTGCCTCAGCCTCCGGAGTCGCTGGGATTACAGGCACCTGCCACCATGCCTGGCTAATTTTTTACATTTTTTATAGAGGCAGGATTTCACTGTGCTGGCCAGGCTGATCTTGAGCTCCTGGCCTCAGGTGATCCGCTCGCCTCAGCCTCCCAAAGTGCTGGGATTACAAGGTGTGAGCCACTGCCCCCGGCTGGCTGTTCAGTCTTCTCTGTTCCTAGTCCTCACACCATGCAGGACGATCTAAAAAACTTCAAGTAAAATGTAAGATGAATATACTATGAAACTGAGTCCCTATTATATGCTGCACTTTGTGCAAGGCTCCGGGTCTGTAAGTAGAAAGAGAAACAGTCCTTGTTAGTCATGGAGCTTTCCTTCTAATGACAGAGCTGTTCAGCAGTGCGCCAGTGAATGATCACAAAATGCTGAGCGCCAAGGAGGTATGAGGGTAGGGCCTGGGGAGAGATCCTGTGAACCATGCCTAGACAGGAGCGATCAGGCATCCGAAGGAAAGGCCTACGGGACTGGAGTGCAGCAAGCACATGGTGGCGTTTGAGGTCAGAGAGCCAGGAGGGCCAACACCACAGAGGTCTTGCACGCTGTGACAGGGAATTTTTAAATTTAATTTTATTCAAAGTAAAATGGAAAGCCTTCAACCTTCTTTGAATATAATGAATACTAATTTTAGAACATTGTTGAAAAGTTGAAGGATTTAAAATGAGTTTTTTTTCTTTTTTGAGATGGAGTGTGACTCTGTGACCCAGGCTGGAGTGCAGCAATGTGACCTCGGCTCACTGCAGCCTCCGCCTCACAGGTTCAAGCAATTCTTGTGTCTGGGACTACAGGCGTGCACCACCATGCGTGGCTAATTTTTGTACTTTTAGTAGAGATGGGGTTTCACTGTGTTGGCCAGGCTAATCTCAAACTCCTGACCTCGTGATCCTCCCACCTCAGCCTCCCAAAGTGTTGGGATTACAGCCGTGAGCCACCGTGCCCAGCCTAAAATGAGGTTTCGAATCAACCAAGGGATTATTACATTGTTTGATCCCATTGAAAATTGGTACTTAGGGTTATCTGTAAGCAGTTGAGAAAGAAAAGGATTGGATATTTTCGCCAAAACAGCCAGACAGCACTCTTTTCTTTTGGTAAATAAACTCTCAGTTATTTACCTCTTGGTGGTATTTTTCTTCCCTTTCATTCATGAACTTTACTGTCATTTTCGAACAAGGAGCCCCCTGTTTGCTACCAGGCTGTATGCTTAACCATGCCGTGCCACACTGATCCATGCATTACGATTTTACTGCATGAAAACGTGGCCTCTTTTCCAGCTCCTGACAGTCACATGGGAGAAAGTGGGTGAGGGCAGGTACGGGCTGATCTTGCAGCTGGAAAAGGGGTTGTGTCTGTTTGCTTCCTAGGTCAGTTGACTTGCTTTATTACATACTTTTAAAAATGCAAGTTTTTTAAAATCAAAAACTAATGACAAATAATGTTTGTTTGTATTTATCAGAGCTTGCAAATTATGTCGTTGGTCTTCTGTGAAGTAGAAGACTTCACAGTTTTTTGGTGTTATTTTGTTAAATAGAATAGTATTTTGAAGTCCAATGAGAATTTTAAGGAGATAATTTTAAGACATTCTGTGTTCTACAGATTGAAGAGGAAAAGAAAAGAACTGCCCGAACAGACTACTGGCTACAGCCTGTAAGTATTCAGTTGGAGTTTCTTAAGTTCTAAATGTATGTTTAAGTGAATGATTTAACTAGCATTTAGTATAAGTAACTAAACTTTTCAAACATGTATATCTATATAGATAGAGCTAGTTATAACTTATAATGACTTTTCTTTCTATTAGATCTTTAATTATTGGTTGCACTTCTATTGGAGGGTTACTTCATGCTTATAGACTAATGTTCCTTAAGTTTGGTGCTAAACTTGTTTATGGACATCTTGAATTTGAGCCAGAAATTTTCAAGTTTTGCTATAAGACAAAAGGTTGTGTTTTCAGAAATGAGTAGAACTATAAATGCTCAAGTGTTGGTTTTCAAAACTCAAGGGAGTTTTATATTTTATTGCTTATTTATTAATTTACTTTTGTTTTAAAAAATAATTTAAAAATAGTTTTTAAATATTTAACAATATTGTTAAATGACTATTTATTGATATTCTATTTTAGACTTACTGAGATGTGACATTTTCATAAAACTTTCAGAATGTCTTATTCTTTTTTTTATTTTTAAATAGAGACAAGGTCTTGCTCTATTGACCAGGCCGGTCTCAAACTCCTGGCTTCAAGCGATCCTCCCACCTCAGCTTCCAGAGTAGCTAGGACTACAAGCATGCACCACTAATGCCCTGCTGATTTTTGTGTTTTTCGTAGAGACGAGGTTTTATTCTGTTGCCCAGGCTGGTCAACATAGCAGCCTCAAGTGATCCTCCTGCCTCAGCTTCCCAGGGTGTCAGGATTACTGGCCTGAGCCACTGTGCCTAATTTCTTTTTTTTTCTTTTGAGATGGAGTTTTGCTCTTGTTGCCCATGTTAGAGTGCAGTGGCGCGATCTCAGCTCACCGCAGTCTCCACCTCCTGGGTTCAAGCGATTCTCCTGCCTCAGCCTCCCTAATAGCTGAGATTACAGGCATGGGCCACCATGCCCGGCTCATTTTGCATTTTTAGTAAAGACGAGATTTCTCCATGTTGGTCAGGCTGGTCTCAAACTCCAGACCTCAGGTGATCCACCTGCCTCAGCCTCCCAAAGTGCTGGGATTACAGGGGTGAGCCACCGCGCCCAGCCCACTGTGCTTAATTTTTAAACTCAGAAAGGAACTATTTTTAACAGATCTACTGTGGGCAAGGGCCGATAAGTACAGTGATGTAATGAATTATCTTCCAATTACTGGAGTGTGAACCCATGAGAGCCTTTGAGAAATTAGCCCAGAAAATAGTATGGCTAAATTGGAGAAGTTGTTTTGGTATTAATTGGCTTCATTTAGAAAGTCTTAAAAGAGAGACTTCCTTAAACATACCTTTCTACTATTAAATACCCTCTCCCCGAAGTCCTTCCTAAGGTTTTGTTAGTGTGATTTTAAGCATGGCTTTATGAAGTACTTGCGACCATGTCTTTGATATATTCACTTGAAGTAGAAAATATAGAATCTCTGCAGTGAATATTGCATTGTTAGGCAATTTAATTTTCATTATTAGCTCTTAGACAGCTAATCCAAATCAGGAAAAAATGGTAAAGAAGCAAACTCCAAATTCATTAATAGGAAATAAGTCCAGATTTTCCTCCCGTTTGAGAATTGGATGCTCAGAAGAACAATACCTTTAGCTGTAACTAATCTGGAGGAATCCCATTTGTACCAAAATTCAAAGCAACCTCATAAGAAAGGGGCATTGTGAGAACTATCCTGCACAAGCTCCAAGGCTCAGTGCCTTGCAGTTTCCAGTGAGTCTCTTGCAATCTGAGTTTTTGTCAGCAGTGAACACCTCAGTGCTTTTCACTTCCTACAATGGAGAGAAAGAAACTATCTACGAAAGACATAAAGTACTAGAGTTGAGATTTACCGATAACAGTCCTAGATTGCCAGAACTCTTCAATGTAGAAATCAAACATTTTGTATATACATGTGTATATTTTTTTCCTCTTGCTAACCATGATGAACAGAAAGGGGAAGAATGAATAAAAGATTGCTAAGGAAATGTTTGCCATTGTTGGGAAGGCAGAGAACTCCAGCATTTCTTATTTGGCAGGGCAGTTACATTTTCCTGTGGTTTTGGGTGAACATAGTTTAAAAGGAAGAAGTAAATAAACGATCACTTCTGTCTTTCCTTTCATCTTTTTTGTTGTTGTTATTTTCTAGGAAATTATTGTGAAAATTATAACCAAAAAACTGGGAGAGAAATATCATAAGAAAAAGGGTATTGTTAAGGTAAGGACATGCAATTATGAATGGAATTTGTGAAAAAAGCTTGGGTCACTAAGTGAAGCTATTTTGGTATTTCTTGAAAATCAAGTCCTGGTAGCAGAAGTACTGTGTCTAAAATTCTTGATTATCCCATGAAATGGAAGCTGAATTCATGATTGTTGGAGAAATATTTCTTTTTCATCCATAGTTTATACTCAACGTTGATCTGTTTTCTTACTAGGACAGATTGTATGTATGAAGTCCCATCAGCACCTCTTCAAAACCTCAGCATGCGTGCCTTGCTTGTCAGTAAAATGTATTTTATTTTTTAATCATAGGCTATATATTAAAAGTAATGGCAAAAACTGCAATTACTTTTACACCAGCCTAATAATTATACTGTCAAGGTCTCACAAGGACTTCTTGTGTTTTGCTTGAGAGACTACCTTTTGGCTACTCTGGGATTTTATTTTTATTTTTATTTTTATTTTTATTTTTGAGACAGAGTCTGGCTCTGTTATCCAGGCTGGAGTGCAGTGGTACGATCTTGGCTCATTGCAGCCATCACCTCCTGGGTTCCAGTGATTCTCCTGCCTCAGCCTCCCAAGTAGCTGGGATTACAGGCACCTGCCACCGCTCCTGGCTAACTTTTGTATTTTTAGTAGAGACGGGATTTCACCAAGTTGGCTGAGTTGGTCTCGAACTCCTGACCTTAGGTGATCCACCCGCCTCAGCCTCCCAAAGTACCGGGATTACAGGCATGAGCCACCGCACCCGGCCTACTCTGAGATTTTAAAGTTTGTATCAATATTCTAGGCCTTTTCTCCCTTTTTGCCTTTCCTAAATTTAGTTTTATTTTAGCACCCAGCCTTGTGCATGCCTGTTGCCCTTCTTCCACTGTACATTAAGCTAGGCAAAACTACCCCTCTTGTTAGATTTCTTAAAGTCTTATTCCAGGACCACCAATCTGTTACTCTTTCCCGATGAAAACCTTTACTAAGCTTTGAATTGAGTTCTTTATTGAGAACCATAGGCTGGGAAATCATGTATGGAATCTAGAAAATAGTGTCATTTATAGAAGGAGTTACTCCTATCTTTTGATTGATGTTTTGTCTTCATTTCACTTACTTTTGTCCTTTTAAATGAGTGTGCACTTATTTCTTCTATTATAAAAGTGTTCATTTTACATGACAGGAAGTAATTGACAAATATACAGCTGTTGTGAAGATGATTGATTCTGGAGACAAGCTGAAACTTGACCAGACTCATTTAGAGACAGTAATTCCAGCACCAGGTAAATCTGTTTGCAGACCATTTAATACATATGCCATCAAAATGAGCGGTTCCATTCTTAAGCCCCTGTATTTTGACAGTGCTTGATGGTTGTAGTTATTTTTCTGTCTTGGCAACATTAACTGCCGGCGTAACTCATCTCTGTTTGGATTCAAGGGCATCGTAGTTGACTGGCTCCCTGGTGAAGCTGTTTTGTGGCATCAATGGATTTTCCTTTCCTGGAATACTTTTTTTTTTTTCCTGAAGCAAAACATAGACATATATGGATAGCATTTGTTATATTAGGCTTATGGTTATAGGTGGAGAATCTCTCATCTGAAATGCCTGGACTTTCACTCAGAAGTGTTTCCAATTTTGGATTTTGGAATATTTGCATATACATAATTGGATATCTTGGGGTTGGAACCCATGTCTTAACACAAAATTGATTTATGTTTTATTTTATTTTATTTTTATTTATTCATTTTTGAGACACAGTTTCACTCTGTCACCCAGGCTGGAGTGTAGTGGCACGATCTTGACTCACTGCAACCTTCACTTCCCGGGTCAAGCAATTCTCTTGCCTTAGCTTCCCAGGTAGCTGGGACTACAGGCATGCACCACCGCATCCGGCTAATTTTTGTGTTTTTAGTAAAGACGGGGCTTCACCATGTTGGTCAAGCTGGTCTCGAACTCTTGATCTCAAGTTATCCACCCACCTCAGCCTCTCAAAGGACTGGAATTGCAGGCGTGAGCCACTGCGCCCAGCCTCATTTATGTTTTATATACACCTTACACACATGACCTAAAGGTAATTTTATACAGTATTTTAAATAATTTTGATTGCATCTTTCTTGACAGTGACCTGTCACTGGAGGTCAGGTGTGGAATTTTCCACTTGTGGCATGATGTCAGCACTCAAAAAGTTTTAGATTTTGGAGCTTTTCAAATTTTGGGTTTTCAGATTAGGGATGTTCAACCTGTAATGTATTTGTTTAGCGCTCTGCAATAGTCAAGTGAAAGTCTGTGTTATTTTGCTTTTTTCCCCCCGTAGTTGTCTTTGCCTTCGGGAAACTTATCCGTATCTGAGTACAAACACTACTTTGACCAGATTGTTTGCTTCTGACTCAAAATCTTCCTGGGGGGTGTCATTGCCAATGTGGTGATAACATCAGTCCATGGAACTTCCAATTACCATATTCTTTATTCTTTTTTCCTCCTAAAGTAAAAATTTTTTTTACAAATTAGAAAAAGTTGTGTTAGCTTTATTGTGGTAGAATTGATGTACAATAAATCACACATATGTAAAGTATACAATTTGGTAAGTTTGAACATTGTCTACTTCATAAAACCACCACTACAATCAAGATGATGGATAAATCCCCTCATTTCCCTCTCTAATCCCTCCCTCCTCCCTTGTGCTCCTACATCCCCCGTCTTCCTCGGCATCTGCTGACATGCTTTCTGTCACTATAATTCAGTTCTTATTTTTCTAGAATTTTATATAAATTAAGTTTCTATAAATATAAATGTGTCCTGTGTTCTGGTCTGGCTGCTTTTACTCAGCATAATTATTTTGGATTCACCTATGTGGTGGCATGTATCTGTAGTTCATTCTTTTTTCTTGCTATATGTCATTGTATGGATATGCAGTATTCCCCCCTTATCCTATACCTTCCAAGACCACCAGTGAATGCCTGAAACCATGGATAGTACCAAACACTATATATACTATGTGTTTTTCCTACATATATACCTATAATAAAGTTTAACTTATGAATTAGGCACAGTAAAAGATTGAGAATAATAACTAATAATAAAAGAGCAATTATAATAAATATACTATAATAAAAGTCATGAGAATGTGGTCGCTTTCTCTCAAAATATTTTATTGTACTGTATACACCTCTTTTTGGACCGCGCTGACTGAGAGTAACCAAAACCTGGGATAAGGGGGGACTCGTGTACCACTTTGTTTACCCAGTTATCTCTTGATAGACATTTGGCTTATTTACAGCTTTTGGCTGTTAAAACTGCTGTGAACATATATGTACAAAGCTTTGTGTGGATATCTGGTTTCTTTTTTCTTGGGTGAATACATAGAATAGCTCAGTCACATAGTAGGTATAACTTTAAAGTTTTGTAAAACTGCCAAACCATCTTATGAATTTTGCAAAGAGACAAAGTAAGCTAAATTTTCTCTGATTACTTCTGGACTCTGAACATTTTCTCCAAGTACCTTATATTCCTTGCAGTCTAAAAGTAAAACATCTCAAAAAAAAAAAAAGAAAAAAAAAGAACTTCTAAGAAAAAGGGTTTTGTTTTTTGTTATGTTTATTAAGTGTAGTACATTTTTGTACATTGCTATAACAAGTTAGAAGAAAAATGGAGATATTTCTTTGCATTAATTTTTATATTCTTTTCCATCATAGGAAAAAGAATTCTAGTTTTAAATGGAGGCTACAGAGGAAATGAAGGTACCCTTGAATCCATCAATGAGAAGACTTTTTCAGCTACTATCGTCATTGAAACTGTAAGTTTGTTTATACAAAGACAGAAATTTCAAAGTGCTTTAAAAATGTGCCATAGTGTTTTTTAATTGGATTGTTCTTTATTTTAGAATTTGAGTTTTTTATTAACTTTGTATCCTACTTGGAAATCTGTAAACTTATTTTCTCTAATGACTCTGCCATTGCTAAAGTATTTTATTTTCTGATTACAAAAGAAATGTTACTCATGCATAAAACCTGAAAAACATATTTTAATTTAATATAAATAAATAATTATAAAAATTAATTATAATCCCCAAGCCCAACAATAAACCCCATTAATATTTTGGTCTGTTCCTTTTCAATCTTGGTATTTTATGAAAGTGTGTATAATGGGTACCGTTTTATATCCTTTTTTCCCCTCATATTGAATATAAAACTCAATTTGGTATAGTGAAGTTAGTGGGGGAAGTATAGTCATTGTCAAGAGGGAGGGAACCACAGAGGTCACCCACTTTTTTAAATGTCTTCCCTTTTTTCGTAAAGGATTTAAGGTAGCAGAGATCAATACAGTAATTTAAAGAACTCTGACATATAAATAAAGTTGGTTATTGACTTAGAACTGATATTTCGGCCGGGCGCGGTGGCTCAAGCCTGTAATCCCAGCACTTTGGGAGGCCGAGATGGGCGGATCACGAGGTCAGGAGATCGAGACCATCCTGGCTAACACTGTGAAACCCCATCTCTACTAAGAAATACAAAAAACTAGCCGGGTGAGGTGGCGGGTGCCTGTAGTCCCAGCTACACAGGAGGCTGAGGCAGGAGAATGGCGTAAACCCGGGAGGCGGAGCTTGCAGTGAGCTGAGATCCGGCCACTGCACTCCAGCCTAGGTGACAGAGCGAGACTCCGCCTCAAAAAAAAAAAAAAGAACTGATATTTCACTGACAGGTCTGTGACTGAGGCCTGAGATACCTTCAGAAAGAAAGTTTCCTTTTAGAACTCTGAACTACTGCACTGCATATCTTTGATGCTAAACAAAAGAATTTTTCATCTCCAGTACAGTCCGTTTTAGTATTTCTGGGGGAGCTTGGGAGTAATAGATCACTAAGAGAGTTTAATGAAAGTTCAGTCTCTTCAAAACGTTGCACATAATTTGCTAAATTTTCTTTGTTCTCTTGGGGAGTTTATAGGACCCCTAAGCCCCTGGGCCTGTTAGAGAATATGTGTCTAGGAAGGTTTTCTGGAAAAACCATTTAGGTCCTTATTTGAGAGAATTCTCATTTCAGTAAATCAAGCTTTTCTTTTCTTTTTTTCTGTCTGATCCTGGCAATGCTAACCTAGAAACTGTTACTTGCTAACTGTTACTGACTAATGTAAACTAAGGGGAAAAAAGGGAAAAAGGACTCTTACTTGGCATTGAGGAACATGTCAGTCTGACTAAATTAGCAGATTGAGTTTTAACAAAAAACTCTAAGATTTTCTCTGACTCTATCAGCATAAGGCAATAGAAAATCCAGTATTTCCTTGACAACTTGCTTATCCTTCCCTTATTAATTTCTTTTTTTTTTGCATGGACCATGCATGAAACTTACCTTATTAATTCCATAGCACTATCAAATGCAGATCCTGTTTCATGTTTTCATCTCAGGGAAACACAAAACAACTGATTACTGTTGAGGCTGTGTTGAGTTCCATCTCGATACCTTTGGTTTGCAGGTTGTGTCCATTCATCAAAAGCTAATTTCTCACCTTCTGCACTGTAGACCCAGTTTCATCTTCTGTACTGAGGTAGAACTTAGGAGCAAATCCACATAAAAAGCCTTTCTGTTTGATTGCAGAGCAACATGTAGTTCTTTTAGAAGAGGGAATCTACCAGCTGGACATGGTGCCTCAACCCTGTAATTCCAGCACTTTGGGAGGCCAAGGGGGATGGATCACCTGAGGTCAGGAGTTCGAGACCAGCCTGGCCAACATGGAGAAATCCCATCTCCACTAAAAATGCAAAAATTTGCTGGGCACGGTGGCAAATGCCTGTAGTCCCAGCTCGGGAGATTGAGGCAGGAGAATCGCTTGAACCTGGGAGGCAGAGGTTGCAGTGAGCCGAGATTGTGCCACTTCGGCCTGGGTGACAGAGCGAGACTCCATCTCAAAAAAAAAGGGACTCTATCTCTTAATTTTTTTTCTACTGTTCTTCAGGCTCTCCTCGTTAAAAAAAAAAAAAACAAAAATATCTCTGTATGTGCATGTGTCGCCACTTGAACTTTGCAAGTGGTTATTTTTATCATTTCTGGCACCTTAAGTTTTCATGTCATTGGTAATGTTTGAAATTTATGCATTTATTAAGCAGATTTTTAACACCTAATAAATTGTTCCTAAATAGCTTCTGCTTTTTAGCTATTTACTCTATAAACTCAAATGTCTGGCTCCCTTCTTATTCTCCAGATTTGTGGTTCTTATCAGAAAAATGCAATTGACCATAGACCATTAAACACGATAATGAAAAATCCAACCTAGGTTATACTTTATCTGGGAACTTAATTCTTTTAAATATGATAATTATTTGTTGTTAACGGAAGCAGTAAAAAAATGTTAAAATCTCAGTTCCAGGGTTAGGGTCATCATCATTGTCATCATTATCATCACATTATATTTTGCAAGGGAAAGGATTAACTGTCAAATTTTATTTTTATTTATTTATTTATTTTCAAGGCAGAGTCTCACAAAAGATTTTTTTTTTTTTTTTTGAGACGGAGTCTCGTTCTATCCCCCTGGCTGGAGTGCAATGGCACGATCTCGGCTCACTGCAAGCTCTGCCCCCCAGGTTCACGCCATTCTCCTGCCTCAGCCTCCTGTGTAGCTGGGACTACAGGCGCCCACCACCGCGCCCGGCTAATTTTTTGTATTTTTTGTAGAGACGGGGTTTCACCATGTTAGCCAGGATGGTCTCGATCTCCTGACCTTGTGATCCACCCGCCTCGGCCTCCCAAAGTGCTGGGATTACAGGCGTGAGCCACCGCGCCCGGCCAAACCAAAGATTTAATAATAATTAGAGTTGAAAATTATTGAGCTCTCACTCATATTAAATTCTAGGTCTAGTCAGTTTATATGAAATGACTCATTTATGTTTCCCAACAACCCAATCATAGAGACATTACTATTATTTCCACTGGGAGATAATGGGGCACAGAGAGGAAACTGAAGGACAGAGAGCTTAAATCAGTTGTTGAAAGTGAGATTTGAACTTGGGGAGTGTGGGTCCACAGCCCATATTCTCTGTGTTCCCAGGTTATATCCGCTTTAGTGATAGAAGATATCTTTCATTAATTAAGTTTTCCTCTTTCTCTTTTTGTTCGATATGAAAGAAGAAAATAAATTTAAAGTTGGACTCTTTTTATAATATAGACTAGTGTAACTATGACAGCCAACCTCGACAAACCTGTTTGAGTATCTGTAATGCTTACAAAATGACATTTCCTATAAAAAAAAGAAAACCCCAAATGGACAATGGCACAAACATGGTAGAAGTTAACGTTTCACTCTAAAAACCCCAAATGGGTTTTTTTGATCAGGGAACTCTTTTCTAAGAGGTGATTTGTGACCCAGGGTCCTTCCAGCTAATGGCTCTACTGCCCTCAAGTGGCATCTCCTGTTGCCGTGTCTGTGTGCATTGGGCAGGCAAAAGGAGCTTGGCAGATTGTGTTTTGGGGATAGCATGTTTGAACCATCACTTCTGTTTGCTTCCCTGGGCTTGGAGCTCCATGCATGGCCATAGCTAACCACAAGGGAGCTAGGAAATTAGCTATTTATCCAGGAAGCAGAGGAGATACTGAACAGCTAGCGGGTCTCTGCCACAATATCTATTGATAACGTATGTCAGATGTCACAGAAGAAAATATGGATTTTCTTAATGAGGATGCCATAGATTATTCTTAAAATTCATAGATGTATACAAATGTTAACTACCTTAATGATATTTTAGGGATACGGAAAAGGCAAATTTGTATCCATAAGTATGGTGTCGTTTTTTTGTCTTTTAGGAATGTGTGTTTTTAACCTTCTTTTAAATTATTTTAATTTGTAGGGCCCTTTAAAAGGACGCAGAGTGGAAGGAATTCAATATGAAGACTTTTCTAAACTCGCCTGAGTTTGAAAATGTGTTAACAATACATTAAAATCTTAAAGCATCAAATTGGTGTTCGCCAGGGCATTATGAGACTCTACTGTGTTAGGGTATTCTTTTGTATTAAAAAAACAGGTTTTTGAAAATATTACTGTATAGTTGTTCAGCTAAACTTTGAGAACAATTTAATTATGTCTCATGAAGTATCAAAACTATGTAATTTTGTCCTTGTTATTTTTGTTTCCTTTGTAATTTACTTGATGAATTTATATCTTCATTAAAGAATGTTATTATAAAGTGTTTTATATATGACAATTTAGAATCATGTAATTGGAGGAAATCCTTCATACACTCTAAATGTATATTTTCAGTAGTAGAGAAGTAAAGTTGAACTACAAGTGTAATTAAATTTTAAACGTAAAACTATAAATACAGAAGCAGCTTTATTGTGGTAATAATTCATATACCATTCAGACCACTCATTTAAAATATACATACAATTCAGTGGTTTTCAGTATTTTTGCAGAGTTGTGCAACCATCACCACTGTCTGATTTTAAAACACTTTCATGCCCCAAAATGAAGCCCTGTAATAGTCAGTTGCTATTTTTCCCCTCTGCCCTAGCCCTAGGCAGCCACTAATGTACTTTCCGTCTCTATGGATTTCCCTTTCTGGACATTTCTTATAAATGGAATCATATAATACATGATCTTTTATGACTGGCTTCTTACACTTAGCATCATGTTTTCAAGGTTTATCCATGTGGTAGCATGTAGGCCTACTTCATTTGTTTTTGTGGCTGTGTAATATTCCACTGTATGGATGTACCATATTTTGTTTATCCATTCATCAGTTGATAAACATTTGGATTGTTTCTACTTTTTGACTTTTGTGAATAATGCTGCCATGATCATCCATTTACAGGATTTTATGTGAACAGAAGCTTTCGATTCTGCCAAACTCTTCCAGAGCAGCTATACCATTTTACAGTCCCACCAGCAATGTTGAACTATACAGTTTTATTTGTTTTTAATTTTTTTACTTTTAGAGACAGGGTCTCACTACATTACCCAGACTGCTCTCAAACTCCTGGGCTCAAGTGATCCTCCTGCCTCAGCCTCCCAAAGTGCTAGGATTGCAAGCATGAGCCACGGCACCCTGCCTAACTATACAGTTTGAAATAAGTAGGGCAGTATATTATTAGGGAATGCAAAAGACAGGAAACCCACACTTGCCTGTGCCAAAGGAAAAGAAGAGAAGGGATATTTATGGTGCACATGACTGAAAGGAGCAGACGCCAGCTTCCAGAGCAGTGGGACCAGGTGTCACCAGCCTTCCCAGGCTTGCGCTCTGTCTCTGGCTTCCTGTGCTGGCTCTCTACATTTACATTCTTGGGCACTCGAGGTTTACATCTTACCCTTCAGCAGCACCAGGAAGAGAGAGATGATCTATCTTTTCTTTTTCTTTTTTTTCTTTTTTTGAGATGCAGTCTCACTCTGTTGCCCAGGCTGGAGTGCAGTGGCACAGTCTCGGCTCACTGCAACCCCCACCTCCCAGGTTCAAGCCATTCTCCTGCCTCAGCCTCCTGAGTAGCTGGGACTACAGGCATGTGCCACCACGCCCAGCTAATTTGTGTAATTTTAGTAGAGACGAGGTTTCACCATGTTGGCCAGGATGGTCTCGATCTCCTGACCTTGTGATCTGCCCGCCTTGGCCTCCCAAAGTGCTGGGATTACAGGCATGAGCCACTGCGCCCGACCTCTTTTTTTTTTTTTTTTTTTTTTTTTTCTTTTTTGAGATAGGGTCTTGCTCTGTCACCCAGCCTGGAGTGCAGTGGCACAATCATGGCTGACTGCAGCCTCGTCCTCCTGGGCTTAGGTCATTGAGTCTCCCACCTCAGCCTCCCAAGTAGCTGGGACTACAGGCATGCACTACCATGCCTGGCTAATTTTTTTGATTTTTAGTAGAGACAAGGTCTTGCAATGTTGCCCAGGCTGGTCTCAAAGTCTTGAGCTCAAGCAGTCTTCCTGCCTCGGCCTCCTAAAATGTTGTAATTACAGGTGTGAGTTACCACACCTTGCCTGAGTTGATCTTCTATAAGAGTTCAAACAAAAAACAGACCACACGAAGATGATCACTTCAAACATGAGGATGGGAATATGCTGACGTTAGACACAGGTACGGTGCCAACCCCTGGGATATCTCTCTTTAATTGAGAGTCAGGGAGGGCTGACAGCTTCTATTCTCAGAAGGTGGGAGAACATATGCTGTTAGCAGAAATGTAAGAGGCAGTAAAGAAATACTAGCAGGATGATGTCAGTAGCTTTACAGAAAATGTTCTTCAGGGATGAATTAAGGTTTTTTCATAGTAACCTGCCAGCATAGTATGGAAAGCAACTGGGTTTTGGGTGTGGGCAGTCTTTAGATCAAATTCTGGCAGTTCTGTTCATTAGCTTTGTAATATTAGAATGTTAACGTTCTTGAATTGCGATGTTTTTAATGTATAAATTGTCAAAATGTTTTTCTGCAGGGTTGGTGTGAGACCTACAGAAAATACATATAAAGCGTCAGACATGAAGTCCAGCACATAGTAGGTGTTGAATAAATGGCAGTGAGTGGTCATGTCCGGAAATGGAGCCAAGAAGTTGAGCCTGGACTACTAAGAATCTGGCCTGAAGACCCAGGAGGCGGAGCTTGCAGTGAGCTGAGATTGTGCCACTGCACTCCAGCCTGGGCGACAGAGCAAGACTCCGTCTCAAAAAAAAAAAAAAAAAAAAAAAAAAAAGAATCTGGCCTGAAGAATTTCAAAAAGGAAAATGGTTCTCCCTGATAACAAATAGTGATGAGTAAAACCTGACAAATTACATTTGCCTCCCCCAAATATGTAAGCTTGGAATCAACTCGGTGGTTTTCTTCAGAGAAAAGCTGTTTCATGTCTGCCTCCCACATTTAATTCTCCAACATCTTCCCGAAATTATTTCAGAATGAAATGAGGTAGCATACTTGAGGTTAAATTCAATAAAAAATATCTGAAGCATAAAAATACGATTCTAGATGTGACAGTTTTTTCCCTCGAGTTCGTAGAGCCTGATAGTGTTTATGCTAAGCAGAATGACTACAGATAACTAACAACAGGTCTTATGATTAGACTTTTATTTTTGAAGCATCATAAGCTATTTTTCTTTTTTTCGAACATAGACTTTACTTACTAGAGCAGTTCCTGTGGGTTTTGACAAATGTACAATGACATGGATCTGCCACTGTAGCATCACACAGAACAGCTTCACTGCCCTAGAAGTTTCCTGTGTTCTGCCTGTTCCCTGTCTCCCCCCAGATCTCTGCTGACCATTGATCTTTTTACTGTCTCCCTAGTTTTGTCTCCATCGAAGGTCATATAGTTGGAGTCGTAGAGTGTGTAGCTTTTTCTGATTGGCTTCTTTCACCTAGTAGAGCATACACATGTAAGGTTCCTCCGTGTTGGTTTGGTTAGGTTTTTGTGGCTCAGTAGCACACTTCATTTTAGCACTGAATAATATTCTATTGTCTGAATGCACCACACTTTATGCACTCACCTACTGAAGGATATCCTGGTTGCTTCCAAGGTTTGGAAATGATGAATAAAGCTGCTACAGATATCTGTGTGCAGGTATTTTCTGGATAGATGTTTTCAACTTACCTATGTAAAGACCAAGGAGCACAACTGCTGGATCATATGCCAAGAGTCTTCTGAGAAACTACCCAACTGTCTTCCAGGGTGACTGTACCATTTTGTATTCAAACAATCAATGAGTGAGAGTTCCTGTTGCTCCCCATCTCCACCAGCATTTGATGCTGTCAGTGTTCTGGATTTTGGCCACCCTAATAGGTGTACAATGGGATCTTATCGTTGCTTTAATTTGCATTTCTTTGATGAAGTATGATGTGGGGCATCTTTTCATGTGCTTATTTGCTGCCTGTATATCTTCTTTGGTGAGATGTCTTTCAGGATTTTTGCCCACTATTTAATTGGGTGACTCATTTTCTTATTGTTGAATTTTAAGAGTTCTTTGTATATTTCAGGTAAGTGTTCTTTATCAAATGTGTCTTTTGCAAATATTTTCTCTCAGTCAGTGGCTTGTCTTATTTTGTTTTAAGCTATTCTTTTTTTAACAACTGACTTGAGGTCATATCAAATTATTGGTTTTGTTGTCCTGAGAGACCAAATTCTATTTTCTTCATTAGAATCTCATTAAATCTCATTTGCTGATTTTTCCTTTGTCTTCTGGCATCTACTTCTAACTGCCTAACAGTTAGAAGTAAACTTCTAACAGTTTCAGTTTTTCTGACATGATTGCATCAAATTCATTCAGCCAGCATTTATGGAGTGCCTTCAGTAGGTAAGCCATTGTACTGGAGATATGAGTGAGAAGCAAATAGAGACCCAAGGTGTGTGTTATAGGAATTGACAATGTTCAATGATAATCAAATGAAATGATAGGCCAGTAAGAGAAACTTGATCATGTATAGCAGCTACTTGAAAATCTGCCCTGACTGCTAGGCCTGAGAAACTGTTGACTGATACCAGTATATACCTCAGTTCCTACTTGGGTAAGATGGAATCACAGGATTAGAATATGATCAGCCTTTTTTTTTTTTTTTTTTTTTTGAGACAGACTCTGTCACCCAGGCTGGAGTGCAGTGTTGCGATCTTGGCTCACTGCAACTTCTGCCTCCTGGGTCTAAGCGATTCTCCTGCCTTAGCCTCCCGAGTAGCTGGGATTACAGGTCCATGCCACGGCACCCACCTAAGTTTTGTATCTTTAGTAAAGACATGATTTCGCCATGTTGGTCAGGCTGGTGTCCAACTCCTGACCTCAGGTTATCTGCCTGCCCTGGCCTCCCAAAGTACTGGGATTACAGGCATGAGCCACCGCGCCCAGCCAGAATATGATCAGCCTTGATTATAAGTTAGTCATTAGGTTGACTGCAGTGACCCTAGAAACGTTAATTAGATAACTGAATAATTATGCCACTTAAGGAAGCCATCCTGGAGGGTTTTTTTTTTTTCTCTTCTGTAGTTATTTTAGGAATAGTTACCAAGAAGTAGACTCAGCCATTGTGAAAAAGTTAAGAAAAATAACACTAAGTTCTTATAGCATACAAGCATCTCTATGTACCTAGATAGCCAGGTAATTTTTACTTTGATTTTACTGGGCCTTTGGAGTCACTTATATCTCCTTCAGTTGGGATAAGACTAAAGAGAAGATGCCACTGGATGGTAATAAGTGATCCTTTAAAGCTGCAGTTTCTTTTGATAGAACTCTATTACCGCATATAAGTATACACCCCAAGATTTTCATTCTTTTAAGACCACTGTGCACACATAAAATACTAAGAAGCTAAACTTAGTATCTGCAGGTAGAAGTTTTAAATTCAAGATTTTAACCGAGTAACAGAATTAGTGTTAAAATCTCACTTTTGAAGTTTCTGTTGAATATTAGCATTCTAATATTTAATATGTTTCTATTTTTGAAATAGGAAATGGAAAAGATGCAGTAGATTTTTCAAAAGTGTATCATAGGTGACCACTTCTTACAGAAGAAGAGGACTAAGAGGTAGTGCTATTTACCTCTTCAGCACTAAGGCTATCTTTACTTTTACTTATTTTTATGAAGAGATGGGAGTCTCACTATGTTGCCTAGGCTGGTCTTGAACTCCTGGCCTCCAGTGATGCCCCTGCCTTGGCCTCTGAAAGTGCTGGGATTATAGGCATGAGGCACCACGCCCAGCCAGTAATCTTTAGCTTCTAGAAACAATCACATTTCCTTAAGAGTTTGCAATTACGTTTGGAGATGCCCACTTGCTTTTTCAAGTACGGGTTGGATATGTGCAAAAAAAGAGTTTTGCCTCTAAAATGAAAAATGACTTTTATCAGATTACGGAAAGAAAGATTCATAAAAATGTGCCTTTGAAAAGCTTTTTTAAAGTGCAAATTCACCAATTTGGCTTTTGAGAATATGTTCATTTTAGGAATTGATTTTTTAAGGAAAGTTATAAACACAGCAAAGCACAGAATTACAGTGGTTCAGACTTGCATCTTAGCACCAAAATCCACTATACAAGAGCAGACAGCATAAAGTAACACAGTTTCGCTTTAAATTGGTTGCTTATTTTATTCTGCCTTATAAATGTCATTGGCTTTTTGTTAGAATATAATTTACTACTTTATTTTGAAATAAAGTCTAATATAAGATTTAGCATGTAAGTGGTATTCCTCAGAAATGGTTTAAATGCAAATGAAGTAACAGTTCTACCAGGAGTACTAACAAAAATGCCGTGTTCAAGGTATATTAAATGTGTGTGAAACTTGATTCACAGACACACAGGGCTTCCAGAGAATTTGGAACTATGATTCAGAATTCACTTAGCAACATTCACAGTGTGTCTCATTAGCCATCTGAGGTAACATCCTGAGCGATTTTAAATATGTGCAGAATTTGGAAGCAACAAAAACTCCCAAGTAGGACTGGGCATGGTGGCTCACGCTGGTAATCCCAGCTACTTGGGAGGCTGAGGCAGGAGGATCACTTCAACCCAGGAAGTGGAGGTTGCAGTGAGCTGAGATTGCGCCACTGTGCTCCAGCCTGGGCAATAAAGTGAGATTCCATCTCAAGAAAAAAAACCACACACACACACAAAGTAAAGAAATCACCTTCCCTTGTGTGGGTGGGCCTCATCTAAACAGTCAAAGGTCTGAATAGAACAAAAATGCTGACCTCCCCAAGTCAGAGGGGATTCTCTAGTGTACGGCCTTCGGACTTCATCTGCAGCATCGGCTCTTCCTGCCTGATGGCTTTTGGACTGGAACACTGGCTCCTCCCTGGGTCTCCTGTACCATCAGCCTACTCTGCAGATTTTGGATTTACAAGCCTCCATAATCACATGAGCCAATCCTTATTGTAAATCTCCTGAGGGTTCTGTTTTTCTGGAGAACCATGGCTAATTCAGACCTCATACACTCACAAGGGTCCCAGGGACCAACACTGTGAAGAGAATCTTGGACAAAAATACTGGGTTATCACAGGCACCATAGCAAGGCTATCCCTACAGAGGGTAGCAGGGCTTTAATATAAATCTCTACAAAGCACCTAAGATCAAGTAACCCCTGTTCGTATTCTATGCTCACCATCTAACCCTCTCATAATCATACCTCCCATCAACTAGTCGTGTTAAGATGGATGCAATCTGCAAGGTTGAGGACCTGAGACTCAACAACAATGAAATGATCAGCTGGGTGTGGTGGCTCATACCTGTAATCCCAGCACTTTGGAAGGTTGAGGTGGGAGAATCTCTTGAGCCCAGGAGTTTGAGACCAGCCTGGGGACCATAGTGAGACCTCGTCTCTGCGAAAAAATAAAAATGAGGCAGGCATGGTGACATGCACCTGTAGTCCCAGCTACTAGGGAGGTTGAAGTGGGAGGATTGCTTGTGCCCAGGCTGAGGCTGCAGTGAGCTATGATCACGCCACTGCACTCCAACCTGGGCAACAGAGAGAGACCCTGTCTCAAAGGAAAAAGAAAAGATTAATAAATGATCACAGTAAACACCACATTTAAGGCTCTGTCCAGATGCTGGCTTGTCTCAGCACCACCTTGATTCACACACTTTGGCGTCTAAAAATGCAACAAAATCCTAAAAGCTCATTTGTAAGATGTTTATTTTCTTCAGGTGTATTTACAGGCTTTATAAAACACCCTGATATCTGGTTCATTTTAATTAACCACCCTGATATCTGGTTCATTTTAATTATTCAAACCAAAGAATATCTGCAAAAGTAACAGGGGAAAGATGTGTATTAATATATATAATTTCCCAAACTATAAACCCTTAAGGCCATTTGAGAAAGCTGTAGAGCTGAGGCACGAAGTAATCCTTGTAATGCCCGTCAATGAATCCTTTTCCACTGTTGTGCACAAACCAGCAGGTAACATCCGTTCCAAACACTAGATCCGTTCTGTAGTCTTTCTGTAAGCCCCTGCAAGGAAGCAAGGCATGTGGTTAGCGGG